TGAGAGAGAGAGAGAGAGAGTGTGGCCTAATCAACAGTCAAAAATTACATTTTTATAGTTTGTGAGTGTGTGAGTGCTGCAGTATTGCAAATCACCACTAATGGGAAAGTTATGAGGGGAAGAAGGAGAAGGAGAAGAAGGAGCTGCTGATGAGCTGATAGCTGAGCAGTGTCAATGTGGCCAAGTTGATAATGGTCTGCTACGGCGGCGGCGGCTGCTGCTGCTGCCACCAAAAAAACTGACGCACAGGGTCCAAACTTGCTTTATCATTCACACACAGTCAGTCAGTTGCTTTCACACAGCTCTAGGACGATCCTCCCCCGCCTCTTTCATTTCACTTTGGTGCTGCTGGTGGCGATGATAACCGCTTCCTGAAGACGACCACCTTGTGACAGAGTCTGCTGCTGCTGCTGTTGCTTCCAAAGCAGTCCTTTTCTTTTTCTTCTTCTGCAGACGGCACATTGTTGAGTGTGTGTGTCTGTTTGTGTAACAAAACCGGCAAACGGTGTGTGAGTGTTTGCTTAGCTGTTTTCTCTAGTACTCAATCGTAGGCCAACTGTAAAGATCCAGTCAGCATCTTCTTTCATACCATGACCAACAGTTGGTGGTAAACAGAGAGGTGGTACACAGACCTTCTCTTTATCTCTTCACCTCGTCGGTGTTTCGTGCGCAGTGGCCAATAGCATCACCATCACAACTTTTCTTCTGTTCAGTCTTTTATCTCCTCCAAACCATCTCTTCCCCAGCACCTCATGGCTTCGACGCAGCAAAACACCAGCATGCAGCCATCTTCTTCATCTTCATCCCAGCCAGTACCAGCCTCCTCCTCCTCTGCCTCCTTCTCCTCAGCCGCTAACTGGCAACAATCTTCTGCACCTGAAGAACTTCCACCACCACCACCACCGCCACCACCGTCATCAGCAACAGAAGCAATCACTGAACTTGAACAGCAGCAGCAGGGAGGACTATCAAAAACCACCGCCGGTGGTAGGCCACCACCACAACAACAACAACAAAGTCCACAGTCGAAAAACGTCAACACAGCAGCAACAACATCAGCAGCAGCTCAAAACAGCACCTACAACAAACAGCCCTACAATCCCGGAACGGAGATGACGAACATGGCGAGCACTTCAGCGTCGGCTTCGGCCTCAGCGGCAGTGGTGGCCTCCAGGGCAACGCCTGCCAGGCCATCAACTTCAGGAAACAATGGCAACCTCAACCATCACCCCTCACCAAACCACCACGCCGGTGTTCAGCGAAACAACTCCTCAGCCGCGGCCAAATCACCCTCCCCTCGAAGCATCGTCTCTCCGCACGTGCCCGAGGTGCGTGAGTACCTCTTCAAGCTGCTGGTAATTGGCGAGCTGGGCACCGGAAAGACCAGCTTCATCAAGCGCTACGTCCACCAGTACTTCTCGCAGCACTACCGCGCTACGGTAAGTAACTACCACCTCAAGGAGAGAGAAGTAAAAAAAAGTGAAACCAGAAGTTCTAATGTTAGCACTGTTTTTTCTGCCTGCAATGCTGTTAAAAATAGATCGGCGTCGACTTTGCACTGAAAGTACTAAACTGGGATGACAATACGCTGATACGCGTTCAGCTGTGGGACATTGCCGGCCAGGAGCGGTAAGTGTATAGGCACACGTTAATTAAAAGTGGCCACTGCACTATCAGCTCAATAACAACCGGCCCGTCTTGATATCTTCCCCTCTAAATATTAGCTTTGGAAATATGACGCGCGTCTACTACAAGGAGGCAGTGGGCGCCTTTCTCGTCTTTGACGTCAACTCGCCGCAGACCTTCAACGCCATCATCAAGTGGAAGCACGACCTAGACACAAAGGTCTGCCTCGCCGACGGCAATCCCATTCCCTGTCTGCTGCTTGCCAACAAGGTAATTTTTTGGGTAGTTTTAGGTGGTGGTAAAAGAAGAAAACTAAAAAGACAAATGTTTTTCTGTTCTAAAACCTTCAGTGCGACTCACCAAAGGAGGGCCCAGCTGCGAATCCAGAGGCGCTAGACAAGTTTGCCCGCGATAACAACTTCTGCGGATGGTTCTACACCTCCGCCAAGGAGAACATCAACGTCGAGGAGGCGTCCAAGTTTCTNGACTCACCGAAGGAGGGCCCCGCTGCCAATCCAGAGGCGCTGGACAAGTTTGCCCGCGATAACAACTTCTGCGGATGGTTTTACACCTCCGCCAAGGAGAACATCAACGTCGAGGAGGCGTCCAAGTTTCTGGTCGGCAAGGTAAGTCAGCATTATTTTGCTCAAAACTGAAGATTGACCAAACTTGTTTACTACCTTAGATTCTGCAACGACAGAAGCACTTTGTGATGGAGGACCACCCTGGAACGAGCGACGTGATCAGCCTCGACTACAGCCGACACGCCCAGAGCACTCAGCCGAAGAAGTGTGGCTGCTGAAAAGTGGGGAGTGAGTTTGGAAGTGATCCACGACCACTTTGGAGCAAGATCATCAGAGAGCTACCACCACCACCACCACCATAATCGCCAACCAAAATCCATTCTTTTCTTCTTCCTCTTTTTCATCCGCTTTTCCGCTGTGCACTGATTTTAAATTAACCGGTATTTGTACAGAACACCACCACCACCACCAACAACAACAACTTATACAGCAGTCAGAGAAATAAAACGATATAGTTGATGATGATGATTTAAAATTCTCAAATGTTCTCATAACTATGGTTGGTGGCAGTGGTTGTGGTAGATAAGACAAAAAGAGGAGTAGAGTTAACAATTCTTTAATATAATTTTAAACTTAAAAATAATGGAAAAGAAAAAGAAAAGTGGCGCGTCAGCGGCGTGCATTGCCAGTTCGGTGTCGAGTTGACCTGCCGGTGGTCCGACCGTTTTGGCTGATGCTGCTGCTGCTGCTGACTCGAGAGCTCGCCGAGGCACCACCACCACTGCTGCCTTCTGATGGATCATTAATTTTAAGAACATAAATGTTCAGAAAATCAGCCAGTTGACGGCAGATTGAGTAGCTGAAGTAGCTGAAGTCAATGAGTATGTAGGCCTGGTTGAGTGAAAAATTTACAGTCAAAAAGAAACAAAAGTACCACCACACTTACAAATGCCAGCCACAACATGAGGTACTCGTCAAAATAAAAGTTAAAGTACTGGTTGAAGAACAACATGAGCGGACCAATGAAGATGGTGTCCATCTTTGTCATTTCACTTTTGCTCATGTGTGCAACCTGAAATTGTGAAAAGTGCACTCATTTAAAAATTTGCTTCCAATTACCAGAACAAATTAACGAATAACATACCACCAACTTATTAGTTATCTTGGCAGATACAAAGCCAAAAGCGACTAAGTACAGCGCTACGTGGTCGACAAAAACGGTGGTCGACTTTGAGTAGATGATCAGCGTAAAGGAGAACACCAGGAGAATCGGAATGATTGGTGAGAGAATTGAGGTGCCCTGAGAAAAGGAGTGGAACAGGATGCAGACAAACCAAAAAGGGAATTATTGAAACATTAGATAAACTTTTCATACTTTGCCTAGACAAACAGGCAAATGATTTCTACTTACAGCGACCGTCGAGCCGTTCTTTCCGCAGCCACCGCCGAGAATGGACTTGAGGACACAGGAGAAGATGAAGCACTCATTCAGCACCGTAAACGCCATTGGGATTACTTTGAGCTGCACTCCAAAGACCTTAATCAGTTGATGATGAAAAGAGAAAGAGAGAGAGAGTGTGTGTAAGTTTTAAATAATTAAGTAGAACCAGAGTGCACATCAACATACGATAGTGTTCCAGAAGGAGGTGCCAAAGACGGCGCTGACGAGGTGAATGGTGATGATGGTGAACTGCGCCTCGGTCACGTCGAACTTGCCAAACTTGAGCGTCCCCGAGACGTACGTCTGCCAGTGGGCGGTGTAGAAGAGGCTGGTCGCTCCGGCGCACAGCACTACCATCCAGGTCGTCAGCGAGCCCAGCTGAACGGACAGGCACACCGAGAGGGAGACGAATACTAGGGGGGGGGGAAGAAAGTGCAAATTAAAGTGGAGTTCTCTAAACAGTCAATCGAGCACACTTACCGGTGGAAACAACATCACAGCCGTGATCAAAGAGCTCGCCCAGTGAGGAGCTGTTGCCCGT